TGAAAGGTCCCCTTTGTGTGTGTGTGTGTGTGTGTGTGTGTGTGTGTGTGTGTGTGTGTGTGTTTTTCCCCGAGGTCCCCTTTGTGTGTGTGTGTGTGTGTGTGTGTGTGTGTCTGTGTGTTTTCCACAGCTATTCAAAATGAGCAATCATTAAAAAAATTCCCAGACCTTGAAGTATTTAGGGAGTGTGATTAGTCCACCACCCACAATCTCAACCCTAAGATGTGTCAGGACAAGGTAAAGCCCCCAACCTAATAAAAGGTGATTGTAGGAGAAAGAGGAAACCTTGTTTCACCCGTGAAACTAGACACCCACAAAAGTACGTCCCCCTGAATAACTGGGAGTATCATTGCATCCACTGACTTGTAGTATAACAGCATTTGTATCTTGAACAAAGGATAGAATCATGTGCAAAGACTTCATGGGGCAAATGCATAGTATATACACTACTGTTAAAAAGGTCAATAAAATTGCTTTTCAAAGAAATTAATACTTTTATTCAGCAAGGATGCATTAAACTGATCAAAAGTGACAATAAAGACGTTTATAATGCTACAAAAGATGTACATTTTCATACTTTTGAACTTTGTATTTATAAGAATCCTAAGAAAAAAAGGAAATATATATAAGAAAGATATGTATTGGTTTCTACAAAATATATTAATCAGCACAGCTGTTTTCAACATTAATAATAATCAGAAATGTTTCTTGAGCAGCAAATCAGCATATTAGAATGATTTCTGAAGGATCATGTGACACTGAAGACTGGAGAAATGATGCTGAAAATTCAGCTTTGCATCACAGGAATAAATTACATTTTAAAATATATTCAAATAGAAAACAGTTATTTTAAATCGTAATAATATTTCACAATATTGTTGTTTTTACTGTATTTTTGATCAAATAAATGCAGTTTCGGTGAACATAAGACACTTTCAAAACTATACAAAATCTTACCGACCTCAAACTTTGATCAGTAGTGTAGATATATTAGTATAAAAGCATTTGAACACTTAAAAATGTTTGAATGTCAAAGCATTAGATAATATCAGACCAAATGACTTTATTATGAACAGTATATCTGTTGGTTTATCATTGTAAAACCAGTGTGCATTTGCAATATTTCTTTACAAAAAACAACACTTGGTATAATATCTTGTTTATTAATATTAATTTTAATATTTACTTCCAATATTTTGCAATGGCACATACATATGTCAGTCCAATGAACCAATGATTTCTCCACCAATACCTGTCAGGTTAGCATGCAGTCTCTGTTTAAAAAAGAGGAAGTTTTGTTATTGTACAAAATTATGAGATTAGTCAGATGAGTGTTAGATTACTCAGACGTCTGAATTCCCCTTATCTTTCAACAGCTCAATCACTGTCAGACTCTGCCAGCAAATATGTGGGAGTCAGTTTATCCCATGATGCACATGGAGGAAGCTGGGGGTCATATTGCGTTGCCACATATACCAAACATGGGCAATTTCATGAACACTGCTGTGATGTCGTTATATTCAGGGCATGAGCATGAGCTTGTTGAGTACCTCTGAACACGGCATCCCATGACCACACTTTTTGAGCTGTATTATTTCCCTTCTAAACTAAAACTCAGTTTCACTTCCTTTGGGAAGACTGACACTATTTGAAAGAAGTAATGTCATAATTAGGGAGGAGGATGAATAGATAGTTTAGTAATTTCAGGGGAATCTGTCAATATTTACAATGACTGAATGACAAGTATGATGTTTTTGTAAATACGCTATTGCCTGAGATACAATATCTCAACAAAAATATCATTTTTTACACATATCTATTGTGCTATAATAAAGTCATTGATCAAATGAAGGGCTGAAAGAGAGCTCTGTGTTTTTCAGTTGAGTACTTACGCCGAAATGTGACCACAGAGATTCAGTACACTATTTTTAAATGCCCTACTTTTGAGTTCTCCAGGTTCAGCAGAAGCCTACGTATCTCGAAACCCTCTCATGCGGTACGCTGAAAACTTGCATCATTGGGCCCATGCTCTGGCAATGCACTGGAAATTCAATCAAAACGTTTTTTTGACTCAGTGTTGTTGGTATAGTGGCATACCACATTTCCCCATATAATAAAGCCCACATAAACCTGTCATGTTTGAGCAGTGTGGTGCGTGGTACCAAAACTGCTTTTAGTGCTCGAAATGCAAAACAGTGCAGCAATAGTTTCTTTCACTTGCATGTACATATGTCTACAAGCTCTGACAGCAGTCATACAGCTACAATAGTATACTCCAGCGGTCATCTCGCTGTTTCTCTCTCTTAGTCATTAAATCTTAACAAAAACAATTTGTTACATAGTGAATCTTTTAAAAAGTCAAACATGAATTTGAAAGAAGTCAACAAGTCAGACTTTGTAAGTCTTTGTTGTGTTTGATATTTCATAGTTGTTCATGAAGTGTTGTCGAAGTTCTTTGCTTTCTTTCATGACATTCTGGTCAAAGAAATGTGGAGTTTTTCTGTAAAGTTGTGAGTCTGTGAGTTTGACACTATAATCATATATTTAGCAGGTATGAACAGATCAAAATCCCCCACTTGATTATTTTCAACAAAGTTGTCATTTTGGTACACGATGTGTACATTCATAGTAATCATAGAAATATTACATATTGGGGCATTTATAAATATCTGTCTCCCTGCTGTAATCAGTCTGACAGTTTCATTCATTTATCCCATTACAAGTCATCCCATGCCATAAATATATTTTAAAATAACAAAAAAATTAAAAAAATTCCCAAATTTATTTATGTAAATATATTTTCTACCAATTTCTACTTTTCCCCCCCCTAAATATATATTTAAAATATTTAAAACAGCATTTAAAAATATATTTTGCCCTCCATATATTTCAGCCCAAGAAAATACATTTGAAGTGTCACATTTAAGGAAAACTTTGTTTGTCGTTATCTGTGAACATACAACACATTTAAATAATAATCAGAAAGGAGCATGCTTTACAATGTCCAAACCAATTACAAAGAGATCAAATATATAGTATATAGTGGTTGTGTAGGGGATGGGAAGTTAAAGCAGTCAATAAAACACCTTTTACAGGCAAAATTAAACTTTTCATTATGATATGATAAAAATGGGAAGATTTACTTTTAAATGTAATTATACAGCAGAATCCTTGTTTTTTCTGTATTGATGATAAACCTATAGTCATAGTTTCTGTTGCTATTCTGTGTTTGTGTTTTAACAAGCGTCTACCTGTCGAGCAGTGAGCAGAGCTACATGTCAAATGTCAAAAGCACTTATTTCTTTGGGCACTTTCAATCATGTCATGATGAACACACACACACACAAAAGAGGAAATTGCGTCGTTTACCTCTCATTTGCACCGGAGGACTGAGTTTGGAAAAAACAGTGAAGAGAGAGCAGAATTTTGCAACTAACAAGAGAAAAATCCATTCTAAACTTTTTGATTTATTCTTAGTAAGAGGTGGAAAAGCCTCTCTCCATTGTCATCTAATTTTGACAGAATATGTGAAATAAAAATGATTATAAATGTGATTATTTTTCATGATTTATTACAAAAGGGTGTCATGTAAAATGCTAAATTTAATATATAAATTTGGCATTGCATCATTTGGTTGAATACTGACAGAGAAATCGAACAGAATGAATTATATAATTCTATGAATTATGTATAGGCTTATATTTTTAATTGAAGGGATTGTTGAAATAGTGATATACTATAAAGATTTAATGATTCTACTCACTTAACCTATATTATGATGAATAATGATGTTTGAAATATCATTCCTGGAAATATTATGCAATACCTTCATGTATGAATAATTATTAAATTAAATAATAAAAACACAAGTAACAACATGCTGGCCTTCTATCACAATTCTAGGGGAGTCATCTTATCCCACAGGTCTCATTTTAACTGCTCAATTCAAAATGAAAATACAAATCTAAAATCTGATTTACTGTAACCACAAATGAACAGTTAACAAATAGACCTATCATACATCACTAATATTCAAAGACCAAAAAGGTTCAGATGGACTAAATAAATGATATATAACAGTATTTTAAATGGAAAAAGTATTTTATGTAATATTTTTCATGTTATATATATATATATATATACTGTTTATAAATATACACACACACACACATATATATGTATATATATATATATATATATATATATATATATGTATAAGATTTATACATAGGCTATACATGTGTGTGTGTATATAGCCTGTATATATACACACACACACACACACACACACACACACACACACACACACACACACATATATATATATAATGTATGTATAAGATTTTAAAATAAATGTACATACTCTTTAAATTAAGGTTCCAAAAAGGTGGTTTTTGCAGTGATTCCATAGAAGAACCTTTTGGGCTCTTTAAAGAACCTTTCAGTGAACAGTTCTTAAAATAATTTTTTTATCTTAGTTTGAATAACATTTGAAAAGTCTAGAATAAACTTTTTCCACTATAAAGAACCTTTTGCACAGTGAAAAAGTTCTATGGAAGTCAACGGTTCTTCATAGAATCATAGATGCCAATAAAGAACCTTTGTTTTTAGACTGATACAATGTCACAAAACTGTAAACAATGGTCCATGAAACAACTGCATTATTTTTGTGATTGTAATTCCCTTTGTGTGTAAGTGGGTGTGAATGTATCTGTGTGGGTGTATCTGGTTTGTCTCCCTCTACTGCTCATTTTTCTCCACACTGACATCATTGGAGTTTCCCCTGGTCTTGCAGTCTCTGGTGTGCTTTAAAAAGAATGAAGAACCAGTTTTTCTGAGCACAACGCTGACAGACCAACCAAGAAAAACACTGAAGTGTTAAACTGCGCTGAGGAGACTTTACAAGACCATTTAAAAGCGTACTGACAGCATCTGCACTTTGCAATTTCTAATATTTGTACATAGTTTAACTTGAGCTTTGCGAGGACTAATAGACAGTGATGATGGATCTCGAGAGTCAGTTTCTTGAAGAAGGACTGCTGTTACCGCAGGTGATGGTGTCGAGGAGGAAGGCCGGCTCTTCAACGTCAGGCGTCTGGCGGGTGTGTGGGGTCCTGCTGGCTGTGGCCCTGTGTGCCGCCGCCGCTGTCTGCTTCACGCTCAATAAGGTGACAATCCTGACCCATACACATCATGCATGTCATTGTAAATATGCCATTTCAGGTACATATTTGTGCATTATTGTGTACTTATTGTGATGTTCTTGTTCATTCTAGTCTCAGAACAATCAGGAAGGTGGAAATGGTGAGTTCCGACCCTCAGTTTCAGATCCTCTTTTTTTCCATTCATATCAGATCATTTTATTTTCTGTGAAACTAAATCATGTTAAATGAGTTATTTTGTGTCTTTCCCCATCAGAGCTCAGGCTCACATTAAGAGATCATCTTTCAAAAGAAAATGTCACTTCCAAGGCTGCCATCCATTTAACAGGTAAGCTTGATTAAAAAGTGCTAAAAGTGGTAAATGAGCTGTAAATAAACGCTAAATGTCACCTCACCTCAGAATGCATTAAAAGCTTATACAGCTTTGCATTGCATTATACATTTAAGAGCCCAAATACTTTTGGGGGTGATTGTATGAAGTCTATATGAAGTTGCCTGGACTATAAACTTTAATCATTTGGTTATGTTTCAAAAAATGTAGGATAAACAAATACGTGTCAGATTTCACTCCTATAGAAGTACTTTTAAAAGAAGGTCTGTTTTTGTTAGTCAAAGGCCAAAGTTCCAGTCAAACTCAAATTCATCTGTCAATTAGAAATGAATTAAATACTGACACCAATATGAACAGCTTGCATGACATGCTCTCATCCTTGAGAATCATACAAACTATACAAATTAAGAGAAAATATGACCCTTATTACAGTAGATACAGTTTCACTTATAGTGAGGATAAACATAGTTTTGATGTTTTGTGTAGTGGTTGCCAAGACTATGAAATTGTGAAATGTATAAACATTTTTTATAGAAAAAATGATTAAATAAATAATAAATAAATATTACTTTTCAGTGTTTCATTTTAAGAACATGTGTGTTTACTTTGTTAATGCATTAAGTATCAATGTAATGTGTCCATAAATTAATGGACAATAGTTTTTTACTGCATTTATTAATCTAGGTTAATGTTGTATAGCCTACTATTGTTCATTATTTATTCATGTTTGTTTTCAATATATGAACTAATGTTAATTTAGGCAACTTGAAATGTTAAAAATGTATTAGCCTTGTATATTTATGAATGGTATTAACCAATACCATAAAATAAGCCGTTATGGTACGGTTGAACGAGTAATCCAGTAGTGTTGCCACTTGATGTCCAATGTAAAATCTGCATCCTGCAGCAAAAAACCTGTTGAGTAGCACCGACTTAAGCCATGCTTTTGTTTTATTCTCCTCTAGGTGCATTTGAACCTAAGGTGTCCACAGACAGCCTAGACTGGAAAAAGAACCAGGACCAGGCTTTCGCTACAGGCGGCTTGGATTTAGTGGAAGGGGAGATCATCATTCCTACTGACAGCATTTACTTCGTCTACAGCCAGGTGTCTTTCCACATCAGCTGCAAGACTGACATGCCTGAGGACCACGATGCTGTGCATATGAGCCACGCGGTAGAGCGCTATTCCGATTCCTATGTCGACTACAAGGCACTTTTCAGCGCAATCCGCTCCGCCTGCGTGAATGCACCTGACACTGACGACCTGTGGTACAACACGATTTATCTCGGCGCGGCCTTCAGCCTGCGAGCCGGAGACAAGCTGCGCACCAAAACAACGAAAGAACTCCTGCCGCGCGTCGAAAGCGATAACGGAAAGACCTTCTTTGGGGTGTTTGCTCTGTGATATGCACTCTAAAACAATCTGTGAAAACAGGGCACAATGTACTGTATTTATATGAAGGAGCTTTCCGTATTTATTTTTTGTACAGGTGTTTTGTCTTTGAATTTTGCACTGCATTGCTTTAGAGTTAATGGAAATGTACGTGAAATTAATGGATAATGTCCTGGCAGAAAATTACCAGTACATTTTACTTTTACTTTTTTTTTTTTTTTTTTTTAAGTGTAGCTAGACATCAAGTAAAACTTGAAAAGTAAGCAAAGAATGGAAACCTGTGGGGAGGAAAGCATCCTGCTGAGCTTCCACTGCAATGACACTGATAAACCAAGACCGAAATGACCCATAGTGAATGTTTTATATTAAAACAGGTCAAAATATGTAACTCTATGACTGACTCTTATGGATCACATCCAGGGATCCAGATATTATTTAACTAATGTTGGGGAAACATGAGCGTTTTCAGCTAGTGTCCACGAATGCGGAATTACAGCAATCCAAGTTATTTATATAATTTTTTAGAAGTTTTTTGTTATGAACATGAAATGATAATGTTAATAATATGTGTATTTATGTCTATTTATTTAAATATTTATTTAAATATTTATTAAAATAATTAAAAAAATACTGCACTGCTACTGTAATGAAATTCAAACATGTAATAAATCTGTCCATGTAGGCTAATCCATAAATTCTGATGTGTAATTTTCATTTTCGCTGCAATTTCCAACTTTCCTTTAAATCAGCTTTGTTTGTGGTTCTGATATTAGGCTACTGAGAGCAAAGGGTATAAACACTGTTGTGTAAAAGTTGTTGTAGAGGTTACTGTTGTGATGAAATATCTCTGCAAAAATGAGAGGCTAAACAAATATTGCAGTCCTCAAGATATTTGTATTCAAATTTAGAAAACAGGGTACTAGGGAAATTGCATTTCAGTCATGCATTTGCAAACCCCTCCATGTGCATGTTTCCGCTGACACTGTTTCCTCATCAGAGAAAATAGTGTGGTTTTGGTGAGGGGAAACTCCCTTACATGCACCACCATGTCAAGCTTCAGGGAACACTCATGTGGAGTGGGCATTTTTGTGGTTATTCAGGCCTATCTGTTACTCTGGTATTAATTAACCATGGTTGAGGAGTAAAATCAGTGGGTTTTTTGTGACACAACACTGGAAAACTCTTGAGGCATTGAGAGATAATGTGCAGGCTACATTATGGGGGTAGTTTTCTCATTTGCCTACAGCTATAATCTGTTGATATTTGATCAGTGTGAGTCAATATTTTCTAGTTATAGAAGAATCATATGTTTTCATAGGTGTGTGCTTGAAAAATCAGTCATTGTCTATTGGAAGAGAGTTAACTGTGAATGCTGTTTTTTTAACTTAAAATTTTGAGTCATCTTCATACAAGAGTATTTTCCATAAATCTCAGGTCAGGTCAAGATGCTTTGTGCAAATTATAAGAGTAACTTCTGTTGAACTGTAAACAATCAGGAACTGCCAGTGAACTATAGTTTAAAGATTGGCTCTATGATTGCAATAAGAATTTTCAAAAACAAGATTCAATAGCTGCAGGGATGATGGATTTTTGCAGGCCAAAACAGCATTTTAGCACTTCTGGTTGAAGTCAGTGGTATTATTATTATTTTTTTTTTTTATGGGTTTTTGGCTAAGTGTCTGAAATAAGGTCTGTGGTAAACACAAGCTCAAGCTATTTTCACACTTTATTCAACCACATAAAATACATCAGTAAAATACTTTTACTTGTCTTAAAAAAGGCACTACAGACGTTGTTGGGGACATTAAACATCATCACACCAAACAGGTAAATGCAACTGTGGTGTAGTTCGTTTATAGCCTATATTTATCTTTTTACTTCTAGTGATTGTATTTAGGCATAAACTTTTGTTGGTCACAGATATTTTTTTCTACAATAATCCAAAAGCCAATTGAAAAATCCTATTGAGTTTTTGTCAAGGGAACCAAGCTGATAATAACAAAAATACGTCATTACTGCAGCGCTCTGTAAGCTGACATTATTCTCCTCATTCATTGAACATCAAAAGGAAACTTAAAAGTGTAAAAGTACTAACAAATTACTTTCAGTACAACCCCATAAATCTTTCTGCTGCAATATTACAGACATGCAAAATATTACTGTAGTAATACATGGAAGTGTATAATTATGTAACACATTTCAGTCATGACAACTCTGGGGATAGATTGTAAAATCTTTATTCATGTAAATAGAATGTGAATAGGTTTGGTCTTGGCGGACTAGATCTGCTACGCTGCTGCTGCAGGGCAAGTAGACTTGCTTCTGTTAAATGCTCAGATCATAGAATTAAAAGGAAACATGCTGCTGCTGCTAGAGAGAGGAAGATCCCCGTAGCAGATCTAGGCAGGTGGTGCTGGGGAGGCGGTGGGCTAAGATGAGGACACGCATAGCACGCAGACATACAGTAGCATTCATTGAATACGTCCTGATTATATAGGTGTACAGTAATGAGTATGTAAATCCGATTGCCTGGGAACATTGTGTAGAGTTTCATGGCTGAACTATTCATGTATGTTACGTTGACCAAAAATGTTCCATAATTGAAATATTGATGGAAGTGCTTTCCGTCATTTTGACAGACAACAAATTATGTTTTTACCTGCTTTAGAAACATTCCAGTAAACACTGCTAATAAGGATTAGAAATAAAAAGGGAGAAAATTATGTTTTAAAGCAGCCGTGAGAGTGAGGATTTGGGAGAAAAATGAGAGATTCTTAAGAGCACTGCAGTGAATTATTCAAGGCATATCGTTCATTAAAAAGTGCAGTGTCTGTTGCATTTTTGTCTGTATGTCATATTGTTACAATGAAAAAAAGAGCTTGTCACAGATTTTTTTGTGATATCAATGTCACAAATAAAACACCCAGCATTACATTATTTTCCCGAAGGATTCAAATGGAGCATGACAGAAATTGTACAGCTCATTCAGTCAAACTGATGTACACTGATTATTTGTTGCCCAACATTATTACTTGGAATTGTTTCAGTTCTTTTGAGTGGCTGTGACCAACACTGGAAGTGCCACCCATATTTTAAAATGCAGTAGACTTGGAAAAAGCTCAATATGGCACAGAAAAAGTCTCAAACAATGCTCTAAATATATCTCAAAAGTGTAAATGGAAATGGCACTAACTCTGGAAGTCCCCTTTGACCAAGACTTCCACTGAAATGCCATCAGATGCCATATCACATTCTTTTATGTCAGTTTTCTCATATTCACACAATCAGTGCTGAAGGTGACTGAAGTGCTTCACAATAATGAACCAGCAAGCCTTACGCTGTACCTGAGGGTAATAAAGCAATTCCAACTATAAAGTAGATTCTCTGAGTGCAACGTGACTCTTCAAACGCAAAAACCACTCAAGAGATGAACGGTTTTAAAAAATGTAGCATTTATTATTTCACCATAGACACCAGTCCATTAGCGTCGTACAGAATCTATCATAGTACAAATACAAATATATTTTCAATACCACATACGAATACCTTTGACTTTATATACTTCATACTTTGTGCAAGAGAATACATTTATCATATACATTTAGCATTTACACAATTAACATTTGTGCATATCATTGTCTGCATGAACATCACTATCATGATTATTATTGAACCACCATTTGACGAGAAATGATGAATAAAATATTACAGTAGACCGATAATAAACACCATGGTGGTGTTTGTACTCATGTTCACAACATCCTCCCCAGGATTCCTGGAGAGTCATCTTGTATCAGCATTTGTGTAAATCACCAGAGCACCATTTAGCCAATCACAAGTGCTTATGACACATCAAATCAATGACATCATGATGCAGTTCAATCTTCATCTTGTGTTCAGAATGGAATACTTGTATACTGTAGTATAGTATAGTATACTGCCAGTATATACTGTATTCTGTCTTTTATTAACAAATAGTATCTCAAACTGTGTACATGCTATACTAAACCTTTCAATTTCATTCCATAAATAATAACATTCCATAAATAAATATGGTTGATATGCATTTTAATAGTTAAAAAAATTTAACTTTTGGGTGCTGAATATTATTTAATATTGGTGCAACAGTGACTGCCAACATTTTCAGCAGTTTGATTCTGAGAGTATTTTTCCAATTCATTTTTCCCCATAGTGATAAAAAAAAAAAGTCTTTGTTAAAATCCATGAACCAAACCAACCAGCTACAAGATGATTTACATTTTTCACCAATTTCACAACAATTTTTGATTTGAAACAAAAAAGTATTTGAAAATTGGACAAAAAGACGACGTTACAAGACTGCGTACTTAATAAGGGGAAAGAACTACAATCCCATGAAGCACTGCAAATGACAAAAGCATTAAAAAAGATGGAGAAATATAGACAATTGATTTAAAGATACAGAAACAATATATTTTACTTTTATTGAAAAATATGCATATTATGCATACAAACATTTAAGTAGTTTAAGTGTGCAGGGAAACTGACATTACATCATTTGCAGTGCTTAATAGGATCTTTTGGCGCAATTTACTTGTTGCAATTCTCTGATTGGTGGCGATTCTCTGCAGAGTCATTGGTAATGTAGTTTTCACAAGGAATTCCACCATTAAGCATGATCACAGTATATCTGTCTTAAAAAGTTTATAAGTTACTGTTAAAAATAAATTCCACTATCAAGAAAACGAACAGGATTTCTTCCAGAACCCGAATGTTTCACATTATTGCACAAAAGCTTTCATTGTGGGACACTGTACACTGTACACATACTATACCCAGCATACATACTATATACTACACTAAGGGTAGTATACTAGCATGCTATTCCGAACACAGCCTATGTTTACAAAACCAGCAGCAACATTCCAAATATTGTGAGGTATTAACAGTTCTCTAAAAATAATGAGCAATGTGCTATTGTCACAAGCACTTATGAACAGACAAATGACTCTCATAGTCCCTGTAGGGATTTTTTCTGTACATCCCGTCCCTCCAAATGAGAGAGAGTCTTTGCCACCGCAAAGAAGGAAATGAGGCAGGAGAGATGAATCATTAATAGTCCAGCTGAAACTTTGCTGTACAGGCCTGCTGATGAATCCAAGCCGCACACACCGAGATAAAGCAAGAGAGTTTACAAGGGTCAAACAGAGGCACAGCTGTGGAGAAAAGCTACTATTGAAGACTGTCATTTAGGGGGCGCTGCAGACAGGAAACTGGCGTTTTATTCATGATGAGGTGACCAAGAATTACAGTTCCAATATACTGTGTTTAGAAATCATGTACTGTACTGTACTGTACAGTAGGACTTCAGTTTTTGTTTAAATCAGGAATGTAATGTGGTTTGCATGACACAAAGCAGCTGATGAGTGTGTGAATGTGCGTGTCCAAGTAAAGTACTGTATTGCACGCTAATCTAATGAACTAATTCCTCTTTTCAAAAATCTTTATCATTGCTGTGTACCAAACACACAACAAAGATGGCTGCACAATGCAATTTTAATGTTATTTGCACCGCAAAGTAGCAGCATCCTGTGACGACTATAATATGGCAGGTGCCATTTAGAAGCAAACTGCATTAAAATGCTGGGAGATTCAATCTGCAGCTTTCAGTGACACGGGGGATCTAATAAAAACAAAACCACCAAATCTGTGATGAAATTACGTCTCCTCTGTACAAAGCCTTCAAATGTCTTCAACAGCTTATGACTGCTAATAATATTATTCCAGCATGCTCTGGGAGAAAAGCTGGCTATAAGCAAACCAACATCATTTCATTTAATAATTTCAATTTATTGTGAGGCTAGAACTTTTTTTTTTTTTTAATAAAGGAGTTGTGAGTGAAGCAAACTGCATTACAATGCTGGGAGATTCAATCTGCAGCTTTCAGTGACACGGGGGATCTAATAAAAACAAAACCACCAAATCTGTGATGAAATTACGTCTCCTCTGTACAAAGCCTTCAAATGTCTTCAACAGCTTATGACTGCTAATAATATTATTCCAGCATGCTCTGGGAGAAAAGCTGGCTATAAGCAAACCAACATCATTTCATTTAATAATTTCAATTTATTGTGAGGCTAGAACTTTTTTTTTTTTTTAATAAAGGAGTTGTGAGTGATTTTGGTCCATGCAAAAATCATCTCGGGTAGGCAGGGCTTTGCTATGTAGTTCTTAAGGTGTTCTGGTTGGTTTATTACAAAAAAAATCCCTCCTTCAGTGTAAATTTATGGGATTACACACTTTATTTATCATCTGCCTGGTGAAAATCACAAGTCTGATCACTTAGAAAAGCAATAGCACACCTCTCTTCAACAAATTACATGATTTGAGGTATCATGACTGTGATGCAAGATAGGAATCCCTAAAAAAAGTGAGTTCAAAATTAGGTAATGGGCTAATAAAACAGGAAACTATAAATCTGTTGATCTTGTTCACAAGAAATTTCGTAATACTGTCAGCTGCACATCAGGGAAAGAATGTTTATGAGGTCATGGTGAAATTGGAAAATGGGTAGATTAACAACAGGATATGAAGTATTCAGAAATCAAATGCAGTTCAAGTATGATGCCAGCAACACTAAGGTCCCAGGGAACACATACTGACAAAATGCAAACTTCAGATGTACTGTAAAATGCACGGGAGAGAAGAGTTCTCCAAATGAATGAATGTAAATAATGTACCATATCGTTACAACACTGACTCGCGATTGCATATCGAGCACTTGGCAGACTGTGATGGAACATCTTCACTATATGATACATATCGCGATACATATATTGCAGTTAGATATGTCATGATATCAAAATGTGATCGCGACTGACACTGCACCAAATGTGTGTGAATCGGTCAGTCTCTCTAATGCAGTATCAGAGTTCAAACTTAAGGCCTTGACACACCAAACAGGAACTAGCAGTGACGAAAGCTGACTGTTGTTGCCTCATGTTCGTGCTTCTTGGCTAAAAGTTGCGCTAGCAGGTACATTCTGTGCCTACATGAGAGAAAATAACTGTCCATAACAGCAGGTATTAATAGTCTGTATTTGTAATTCAGAAAAGGAAACCAGAACTAGGACTGCATATACACAAACAAAGCCATTATAAATATGAATAATGTTGATAATATTTTTAATTCCAGATGAAAAATTAGAAAATATATTGGTTATTGGATGCTCAGGTAAGATGGCAAAAAATGAGAACAGCCTTCTTTCTGTCTGTGCCTTCTTGACTTCTTTGCTTTCATCACTTTTGCTATTATTCTCATGCACTTGTTAGTAAAACCGAACAGCCAGAGTTCTCTCTCACAGTCAGCGCTGATGCCAACAGACATTGATTCAACATGCTCAACTGGCCAAAAATCCCCCAATGAGGTCTAGTGCCTATGGTGTTGAACACACCAGAAAAACTAGGCTGATTGATGCTCTATGATGGCCTGACGTTGGCCGCCAGCTTGCTGTATTTAGATGACCTGATTGAATTGTAGAAAATATGGGAATAATAATGGGAACATTTAGTGTAATTCATGATGTTTTTGTAAGGACGTTTTTAGCTTGTCATTGTTCATCCACAATTTTCCGAGGGTTACTCATTTGAACGGTGTAATGGTTCACAGCATGTGTGGTTTTCAAATATGGTGACACATGAAATCAAAGCCAGATTCTCAAGCCTCCTGTGTATAACCTCCCATGAATCACAGCAAGTGTCGGAAACAAAAGAAACAAACAAGGCCGTCTGCTGGGCGGAGATGGGGAAAATTGCAGTCCGCGAATCAAGGTAGCTTATTTTTCTCCCCCCTTTTCAGTTCGCTGAGTCCCCACTAGCATTTCATCCCAGTTCCTCCAGGTTCACTTGTAGAGGAGCTGCAGTCGGCCGGGGTGGCAGTTGTTGCGGTTGATCTTGCCGTCGGGCTGGTAGAGGGTGGAGGAGTTGGAGAAGGTGGGAGGGAGGGAGTGGTTGTCAGAGGCAGGGAGGGGGTATCCTGGTGGCGGGAGGAGAGATTTGGGATCGTTCTGAGGAGCGGGGAGAGATGGAGAGCTGTGGTTCTGATTGGAGGAGGTGGGGCGTTTCCTGGAGCGCAGGGCCTGTCGCTCTGACAGCTGGTTTCTCAGCTCTGATACACGTTCCTCCTTCTGTCAGGAGAAAACATGAGGCCAAATGAGAAACTAGTTTCTGCTGAGCCTAAAAATATTATCTGTGCAGATATGAAAACCACTGAGAAAAAGGAAGATGAAAGTAAACGTGACAATCTGCCACGGCTCTCATGACATTTAGTATCAGACAGGATAGGGGCAAATAGAGAATTTAAAAAACTCAATTTGAATAGAACTGGCCACAGGATGCTGAATTGGAATGAAAGGAAGAGGATTTTGCTAAATCATAATTCAAAGAAATTCCAGTCACACAAAAGGGGAATTTGCTTTCAGTGTTATTAACTAAAACTAAAACTATTAAAATCATTTCTGTAAATTCGATAAAACTGAAATAAAATAAAACAAATATTAGATGAGGGCAACTAACTGAATTAAAATAAGTTTAAATTAACACAGCAAAATTAATAAAACTGACAAAAATGTCTATTCAAAATATTAAGAAATACTATAATAGTATATAAATGATGCTAAAACATGTTTCCTTTGCATGCCACGAATGTTGCAACAAAATGCATTTATTATTCAATTAATTCTGACTAACTGTGCTGATGTACTCCTTCGTATGTAGACATTTTTCTCAACTGGTTTCTTTAAAACAAGTTCATTACTGTCAAAAGAATGCCATCAAAATATCCACCACATTGTTTACAGATCACTTATAAAATACATTTTTACATCAAATTTGGAATCCATATAATCTAATGAGCCTTTACTGCTCGAGTCCACTGAAAATAAATTCCATGGTCCATTAATTCTGGAAAGATTATTTTAGTGCTTGTGAAATGCCAATTATTGGTACTTTTCATGAAAATTAGATGAAATAAATATATAAAATATATAATATACTGTAATTAATAAATAGAGTGAACAATATATTTGGGGAAGCCATATACTTATATGTTAAAATTCTGATAATTGTCACCATATCTTAAGGTTTTCCATCCACAAAATCCTATTTATCCCATTATTATGTGTATTACCCTGTCTAAATCAGATCTCAGAGTTCAATTTCTGAGGCAGAGACAATCACTGGAAACTGTGTTTGGTGTTTTTACTTTCAGATCAAGGCAACCGGGAATGAAATTTCCTGGTTCTTAGTGGCATACATTATACCACTGATCTTTACAAGAGCATCAGTTATGTACATGGAAAATGAAGTCATCCTCCACCATGGTCCTTAAAATTACAATGAATAATATGTATAGATATATAATAAAATTTCTTCCAGAAAACTACACTTACAGCAGTTATACGTATACTTTTCCTTGAATTCTTGTTTCTTTAATAACAAGTGCAATTCTGCATTCTGTTACTACCCCAATTCACATTCCGAATATAATTAAAAATGCATTCTCAATTCAGTTCTGAAATGTGCTCTATCCTGGTACCAGACAACCTCAACAGCATGCTGGACAAAGTGACGGTGACACAGAACCTCCTGGATGATCTTCTGCAGCTCTTTGTTCTCTCTCTCCAGCTGGCGGGATTTCTCTTCATCGTTGTTGTTTGTGGATGAGCCGGTCTTCATGGTCTCCTGCTGGTCTGACTGCCACTCACCACGAGTGATAAGCCTCCGCATCTGCACCAGACACACAAACACACCACACTAGGTATGACAACAGACGAGATTCACGTTGACAGAATATATGAGAATGTATAGACTTCTATGTACTATTTTTTAAAAATAGTATGTGAAAGGTAAGCAGTAGACAACAATAGAAATGATAATAGTGATAAAAAAAAACAAATAAAAATATTAGAAATAAAACTGAGCAATTATGAGTTCAAATAAAATTTCTCTGTATTCATCAAGTGGTTATGTTGGAAATTAAAATTTTTATTAAAAATTTGAATCCAATTTTGCATTTAAGTCTTTTAACAGTCTGATTAAAGAATAATTCAAAGTGAACAGGTTAAAAATGGTGATTGATATTGCTTGGATTGCTCAATTCATTCTTCACACTGAAAATGGATTAGTAAAGTTCACTGTGGGATACATTGTGGGTCATTATTAACTAAAACTAAAACTATTAAAACATTTTGTTAACTGAAATAAAGCTGAAATAAAATAAAATATAAATATTAGATGGAAAAACTTAAATTAAAAGAAAATTAGAAATGTTGTTTTGGCAACTAATTGAAATAAGTTTAAGTTGAACCACTAAAATAACTAACTGGAAATAAATGGAAACTGAACTAAAAGTAAACAAAACTGTAATAAAAAGAAATAGTAAAAAACTAATAAAAATGACAAAAGTACATAACAAAATTACTAAAAAATTATACTAATTTAAAATGATAGCTGAAAATATAAAAATAAAAGCTCATTCAAAATATGAATAAAAACTGTAATAGTATCAAAATAATAATAAAATAACACTGGTCTGAGTGTACACAACAATTTCTTATTGGCTGTTGTTTACAAGCACTTTATGTCTTTCATCTCTTTCATATTCTCCAGAGATGTGTAATAACACCTGTCTCCTCTGATGACACTGATTACATCACATCTCCATAACATCGTCACTCAGTGCGCTTTAAGATTCCATGAGCAGACCGCTGAGAGAGATGCATATGTCACACATTTACACATCTCTTTGATCACTCCTTCCCCTACTCTAGATATCCATCATTAATATTCATCACTGTAATACAATATTTACATGTTTTGAGAAAATGATCTTCTGTTGTACCTTAGGGACAAAGAGCACAACCAGAGTGATATAGACGGAGAAGATGATGGCCAGCGAGGCGAAGGCGAACGAGGCGTCCTGCTTAGACGACAGAATCATGGTGACGGGAGCCGTTATCATACACAACACCTGAAAGAGAGACAAACGGTCACATATACAGGTGTTTCTTTTGCTGTGTTCGAAATGCCATACTACCATACTACTCTTACTATTTCTGCAGTATCCAGTATGTATACTGTGCATAGTATGCAAACTTTCTGTATTCATGAAATACCCCGATTACCTACTATATTTGCCAGAATCCGCTAAATATAACTCAAGTGCACTGAAATCTGTACAGAAGCTGTGTTTGGAATGGCATATATTGCAGTATGCAATGTGTATACTGTGAATAGTATGTGAATTTTCTGTATGCATGGAATTCCCGGACTACCTGCTACATTTGCTGAAATTTGATGTATGCATCTGAAGACACTGCATGGGATACCGTTTCCCAGAATGCAACACGCTCCGTGTGACCTTTCATCTTCAAACGCGTGAGTGAACTGGAGACGGGGAATAGTAATTATAAATGTAACACTTGTATA